GTATGCGCCAAAGTATGCGCCAAAGTATGCGCCAAAGTATGCGCTTGCATTACACCTTTTCTATTACTTGCACAGTCTGTTTATATGCACTTGTATTATTTGACCTGTGGCATTGTTGTTGTTCTCTATTTTTCCTCTCTTTGTTTACATTTTTATTCTTCATTTATGTTTTTAATTCTCTACTTAACTCCCCCCATATTTTTGGTATATTATTCATTCTCGGCTGTTCCTTGTTCTGGCTGCCTGCCGCTGTGTACAAACACAGTTTAGTGACACACACGCACCCTGCTCACTCAGGTAAGGTGAGCCTGGCACGTGTGTCGTTCCCCAGGTGTCGGAGATGAGGAAGGGGGTGGAGGGGGAGAAGTCAGCCCCCGGGGAGGTGGTGGAGGAGCCCAGCTGCCTCTTTGACGAAGGAGGCGTGCAAACCGATCTGAAAGAGACCCCACCCTCTGTCTCGTCGCTGCCCTCTGAAGAGGCTGTGGGATTTACATCAGCCTCCCAGATTTACTCTGTAAGGACCCCCCCCTCCATTAATGGATCTCTTTCTTCTCCTGCATCCATACACCTTCCATCCGCTTATCCTGGTCCCACGCAGCATAGGTCTCACGGCCGAGGAGCACCCTGGATAGATTCCCGTCTTTTTCCATTATTAAATTATGTAGTTGGCCATTTAAATATGTCAATTATTCAAAATCTCTGTGATTGTTTTGTATTGAACCCATAATTTTGTCTTTATAGCCTATTGAAGCACTCTTGATGAGGCAGGCAGACAGACAGACACTTACGTACTTACTTACGTACTTACTTACGTACGTACTTACGTACTTCACCTGGCAGTTCTGCTTATTGTGTGTCTGTCCCCCCCCCGCAGCTGAAGCGTAAGCGAGTAGGGGCGGGGCTCCGTGGCTCCTCAAACCCCCTCCTGGTGGCCAGCGAGCTTCTGGGGGGCCCCAAACTAAACCACTTGGTCATGGTTGGAACTAGCAAGGGAGAAGGAGGAGAGCTCCAGGCCCCCACCCCAGAGGGCCCCGTCAGGTCTGCTGGGGGGGGGGAAGGAGGGAGCAGGACCTCCTGTACAGATGCCTCCCCCAGCAAAACCACCAACCTGCTGGCCAGCCCCACCAAACGGGGGTGCAAGGCCCCCAGCAAGAAGCACCTGAAGCTAGCTGAAGCTGCCCGCCAGCTCCGCCCCATCTCGCAATTCTTCAGGCCAGTTGTGGGGTATAAGGATCAGAACGCCGAGTCCTCGACTGGGGGGGAGATGGGGCCCCAGCCTCATGACCAGAACCAGCATCCCCATCCAGACTTCCCCACTCCTGAGCACCATCCGCAGGAGGACCCAGAACCAGCTTCAGAACCCCCCAGGTCTGCAAACCACAGTGCTAAAGTGTTTCTGTGTTGTTCGGTGATATTGGTTCACTTTCTTCACATGCTTGCGTGCCTTTATCTTCTCTCGCAGTGACGATAAGCCGGTGGGCGGAACTTTGGACGGGAAACCGTCGGAGAAGGTGCCGGAAATCCCATGTTCTCGCGTCTGTCCTGCAGAGGGACTGTGTTACCATTTCCTAGTAATTCTGGTAGCATAAGTATGGTTAACCAGGTTAACCAGGCGCTCAGTAGGGGCACAGATATCCTGGCAAGTTCAGGGGCCACAACACTTTAGAGGAGCCCTTGGCAGAATGTTTTGTTAAGGGGACCCCAGCTATACCTCTGATCATGGCCAAGTTTGGTTGTCACAGAACGCCAGGCAGTATTTTTGCCCCCCCCTGTCAGCACAGCCTTACTTTTAGATAGAAAAAAATAAATAAATAAAAAACTAGTCTCACGGCTGGGGGGGGGGGAGCAGGTCAACCTGTCAGTACTCCATCGCTTTCCCTGTTCACAATATAATGCAGTACTTGCATAATCTCAAGATGTGCTCAGGGTCATTATCTTGCTGAAAAAGAAATGATTTTCAGGTGTGTCCAGACTTTTGACTGACACTATAGTAATATATAGTATATGTATTTTTTTCTTGACTTTGCCAGGATCTGGCCTGGCCCCTAATAGTAACCATGGTATCGCAGTAACATAAATGATAGTAACCAGCTTGTTAGATTCGCTATTAGCTGTTAGCATGATCATCAGACTCTTTGGATATGAATGTCAGTTTTCAGAGGAGTCTGAGCTGGCCGTGACCGCGTATCCACGTGAGGATGACCGGCGCCCCCCGCAGGCCAAACGGAGCCGGCGGCAGCAGGACGGAGGGAAGAGGGTGACGTTCAACCTGGAGGTGCAGCAGAGCAGAATTCGACTGGATGCAGAGGTGCCACCCCAAAAAGCGCAGAAGGGGGTGTCCCTCAAAGAGGCGGCGGACATCGTGGTGCGATGCCTGGACCCGCTGTACGCTCAGGGCAAGTTCGCCACCAAGGTGAGAGACGCCGTGGCTGATGGCTTCCTGCATGCCCCTGTATTAACCATCCAGAATCCCGAAAGCCCAGGAATCCACGATCAGTGATCGCCTGTGCTGCAATGCTGTCTTTTCAGGACCTTTTTAAAGCTTTTGCCCGCTTCCTGTCTCACCTGCTCACAAAGGGAAAGCGACGTGGGAGGAGCCAAGGTGAGCTCATTGGCTGGGAAACTCAGGCCCCTTTCTTCCATTCTGTGAGCTGGGGGGTGGGGCTCTCAGCACAGAAAATGCTAGGGGGCGTGGCCATAGTCAGTGGGGTCCTTATTTGGGTATGATGCTGGAAGGGGAAAATTTAAGTGGCGTCATACATGTATCTACAGCGTTAGTGTGTGAAAGAGGGAGCTTGGGTGTCAGATTGTCGTGTGACTTATTCATTCACTGTGTGCCCCCCTTCACCCCCCCCCCCCCCCCAAGTGAAAGGAGATGTCGAACGTCTGATTGGCCAGCTCTTCAGCACCGTTCAGCGCTGCGAGAGCGAGGCGGACTGGCAGCATTTGGGAGGATCCGGCCGGGCCGGGGGCGAGATGGACCAGGGGAGCAGAGGTGGAGACTCGGAGTGCCTCTCAGCTCCATCGTAACCCGGAGACCTCGGATCCAGAACTCGGACTGCTGCCGCACTCACCAACAGCCTAGTGCACCAAAGGAAAGACATAAGCCAGTTAGTTCTGGGCAGGGTGAAGATACTGCTACTGCCCTCCCACGCTGCTTCTCAACTCAACGAGGCCTTTTCGTGAACTTTGGAAGTGCCACCTGAGGGGACTTAATTTTGCCTCCCCACCCCCAAAACCATTTACAGTCTGCCGGTGTAACTATAGTCTGTCAGTTTTGTTCTCCTTTTAATTTATCGTTTTTACATGTCACCTTTTTGTTCAATTTTAGAGTATGGAAGAATTATAAAATCAGTTTATCTGGCAGTTTTTGTTGTATATGTCTGTTTGTATATCCTTTGCGTTTCTTGCGGTTTAATTTTGTTGCGTTTTGACTTCGCTTTCTAAAAGTCGACCTCATCTGGGAATTAATCATCTTGGGGATGTTGTCGCTTTGCGGTAGCGCCGCCTGAGCGAATGCCCGCGTGAACGCGGAGTTGGGTTATTCTCTTCTAAGTCTTCTATGCCACTGTGATCCATAAAGCTGCTTAGACCCTCCAAACGAGACCCGGCCGTTTACAATAAATGAAGTTCCTGTGAACACCTCTGAATTGATGTGAGGAATTATTTTATTTGACAAGGTGTTCTCCTCCCAGAAGCGGAAAGGGGGTGGGGTGTGGGGGGGGGGGGGAGTGTGGAGTCATCTTTCCTGTTTGTGCAATTAAATCCTGGTGGTTGCCAGGGGGGCGACAGAGAGGGACCTCGGCGAGGACAAAGCGAGACGTCGGCGCGTGGCACACATGGGCAGGATGCTGAGACCCACCGCGGCCGAATGGATTCAGCAGCGAAGAAATAATTATTTCACACGAGCGTAGCCTCGCTTTTAGTAAGATTAGGTCTACCTCTGTTCCTACATAAGACAGGTCTGACCGATTGAAAACAAGAGAGCTGGCATCCTCGCAGACAATACAAAGCGCTGGAGTTTTTTTTTGCTCCATTTAACTGAGTAAAGTTAATTAAAACGCACATTTTTTTATTTTTCTCTTTTCATTCGATAAATAAACCGGTCGTCTTAAGTCTGTGTTTATAAGTGGAGTCATTTGCAAATTGCAATGGGGGATCTTTGCGTCTGCAATCGGTAATCTGATCCCGGTCACCGAGAGCCGGCGCTGAGGTTTGCCCCGCTGCGCACTGCAGCTGAGCGCTTCTGGTGCAGCAGATCGGCAGCAGCATGGAGCAGTTCGAGACTGAAGAAGATGAGCCATGGTACGACCAACAGGACCTGGAGCAGGGTATGTGAGAGAAACTGCAAATTGGTCCCCAGCCATTTCTTTGTCTTCTACAGACAGTGGCGGTTTATTCAATGTCTTGCATCGTAGTCATATAAAATACAATATGCTGGCGTATTTATGTGTTATATCAGGAAGTAACAGGGATTTCTTGTCGACAAGTAGCTGTCAAATCTCCCGGTGATGTAACCAGTTTCGGAGCATAATTGCTGAGCGCGCGTGTAATAATACATACGCGCACCGTCAATATTTTTGATAAAGAGAAAACTGCCGTCAATATTTATCTGAATAATTAGATTTAACACTCGAGATGATGAATTTGATATGTGTAGGAGTGTTTATTGCTTTATTATCACATTTGTACTGGCGTCTCGTTTTTAAAGAATTCTCCCCTCCTGCTAACACAATAAAATGGCGAATTAGAAACGTTTATTAAGGAAAAATACAGCAGATGGTAAGGATAATGAAAAGTAGCCACGTTTGTTAATCGAGTGGTCAAATTTGGAAGTACATTTTATAAACATTCTTTTAGAATGCACCTTTAAAAAATCCGGATACAATTTGGATATTATCTGATATTTGACGTCATTCTCGGTCACGTGATTTTGACAGGCTTGTTGTCCCCGAGACACCGGGCCGACGGGTTCTTATCATGGTGCGCTGCTTTGCCGTTATGGCTCACGCAGAGTGTCGGCGACAGCCGCGGGAACTGCACCCATCAACGTCGGGTGCCTCTGACTATTTCATATTTTCCATTGAAAGTGCTCGATGCTCCTGCCATTTTTCGGTATATCCAAGGAAAATGGATGGCAATTAAATAAATGCACAGACAGCGCATTTTTCTTTTGACTGTGGTTGTTGATGATGTAACTCTGGAAATGCCATAATAAATGAATAAGAAGTGAAATATTTACTTATGTATTGTGTCATTTGATACATGGGATAAAATACGAATTATGTAGAAAGTAGTCTCTTACGCTCTTGTCCCTTCCTATCTGCGGTGTCACTATCAGATTTGTACCTGGCAGCGGAGCTGGGGAAGACATTGCTGGAGAGGAACAGGGAGATGGAGGACTCTCTGCAAGAGATGTACCTCACAAATGAAGAGCAGGTGCGGGAGATTGAGGTAGGGAAGCGATTAGACGTGGGAAGGAATGTGGTACAAGGCGGAGATTCCGTTATGTTTTATGGGTTGTTCACGTGTTGCTTAGCCGTTGCGCGTCAAATGATTTAAAATCTAGTAACACTGTCCTGGTGTTATTTATTAGAATAGCTTTTTGATGCTAAATTCTCATACAGCCAGGGGCGCCGCTAGAGATTTTGGGCCCCATGAAAGCATATCATATTAGGCCCCCCAGTCCAAACCAATCCAGTTATTTTCCTAATTTTTTAGGGCCCCTGTCCTAGCTTTCCTCCCCCTTACGGCGCCCCTGCATACAGCTGTTGCATTTGTAACTGGCATAGCAGCCCTTGACAGCTGTGTGCTTGTGATATATAATCCACGGAAGCAGAGGGGCCACCCTAACCCATGCAACCTTCCGAGCATCATTAAGGATGCAGTGATTGTTTATCGCGAAAACAAAAACTACGAATAACTAAATGTGAACAACAAAACTTTATTTAAAAAAAAGCCCACATTATCCCCGTGTTAATATACGTCAGTTTCAGTGAATTTGCCCCCCAATCAGTGTTATCTGTTTTTGTGATATGTTGCGTTAAACAAAAGCTTCTGCCATATAAGAAATATATACATGTAAATATCAGTACCAATGTTCATGCAAGTTTCCTCTGGGACTCATCCTGCAGTTCAAAGACACCTGGTTAGGGGAATTGGTGTATGGAAACTGCATTTTGTGTGTGTGTTGGTGTGTGTGTGTGACACCCTGTGCTGGATTGCCATCACATGCAGGGTGTCCTCTACTTTCTGCTCTGTACATCTTGAAATCAGCTCAAAACTCACTGTAACTCTATACCAGAAAACTGGTTATGAGAAATGGAAGGACAAATAGATATTTCTATAGATATCCGAATGGACATATATAGGTATTTCTTTGGATAGCAGTACCAGTGATGTCAGAAATGTAGAACTCTGACAAGACATATTGATGAATTGTGCTTCTCACCATTATCAGGCCAGAAAGAGGAGGTTCTTGGAAGGAATGGTCTGGGAAATCAGTCATACAGATGAGACATCTGAAAGTCTTCTAGAACAAAACATCACTTGGGACATGTGTTACACACAATGCATTTCAGAATGATGGAGTGCCTCATAGACCCTCGTCGGGTTCCAGAATCTGCGAATGTGAACAAGCCATTGAAACGATTTGAGATCAAAAGCGATCGACGGCGATTTGAAATCTGAGCCGTTATCTGATTCAGCGGTTCTCTGCCCTGTGGAATCGCCTGCAGTACCTTTCCAAGCAGGTGGAGATCCTGCGGGAAACGAACGAACAGCATGCCAAGGTGTATGAGCAGCTGGATGCCAGTGCACACAAGCTGGAGCTGATGAATCAGACGCTGGTCCTGGAGGGTAAGACCTCGCAGCAGAAGATTGACAGGTGAGTTACGGGGCAGACTTGCATGTGGATGGAAATACATACAGTACTGTGCAAAGGTCTTAGGTAGTCAAAAGAAATGTTTAAAGCACATTTGCTCAGAACAAAAGCACAATTTAACATTAGAACATATGCAAATTAGGAGTAACAACTAGTAAAAATTTCTTCTGTTCTCCTTACTGGTATCTTGCTGGATGGCTAGATGAACATATTTGGACATATTTTCATCTGAGTTGCATTTTGTTCTAGTGGACTTAGGAGTGATCAAGTTTATTAAATGAACAGTCAGTGCAAGGTCCTGGAAGCAACTGTGTATGTCCATTGTACGTCAGATTGACAGGCACCATGGAGACACTGCAAGCACAGGTGGACTCGATGACCGCCCGGGTGGAGGAGCTACGCTCCATGGAGCAGCTGAGAGCTCGAGGAGAGTGGAATGAGAAGGAGAGGAGCAGACGCTCCTTCCCCTGCCTGCAGGAGCTTTGTTCTCCCAGGTTTGGCTCCCTGACTCCCTGTCCTTCTCAGAGGTTTTTGTACCATAGAAGTTCTTCACAATGTGTTTGTAGCACCTGGGCTTTTTGAGGCTCCTGCATCGTCTGACTCTAACTATCAGATTCACACACACCTGTTATTTCTCTGCCAGGCATAAAGGTGGCGCTGTGGGGACCCCTGAGGCTGAATGGCACTCGCTGGAGGAGGAAAATGCAGGCTTGCGTGAGGTGGCGGCTGCCCTGCAGGCAGCCATATGCGCGGAGCGTGCGAGGCGTGAGGGTGCACAGAAAGAGTTTGCTCGCGTGCTGCAGGAGTCCGCACACCTGGAAGAGCGCCTCCTGGTGGCCGAGGGCTGCATGCGACACGTGCAGGAGCTGGAGGTGGAGCTCCGGGAGTTGCGGGAGCTGGGTGGCGCTGACGGGCTGGACAGCAGCGGTGTCATCAGCACGGCCACTGGGCTGGGAGAGGAGCGAGCCCAGGCAGAGGGCGCTGAAGTTACTGCCAAGGGGAGTGTAGCTGAATCGGTGCATAAGAGCTGCAGCGACACAGCGCTGAACTCCATGGGGGGTCGATACTCACCAGGACGCAAGCCGGGTGGATATGGGCCACGAGCCAATGGCTTGCCAGGACAGGGCGTGTCTATTCTGCGCGAGGTGGATGAGCAGTACCACGCTCTCCTGGAGCGCTATGAGGACCTGCTCGGAAAGTGCCGACGCGGCCACGGTGGTATCCATCACGCCGGGGTGCAGACCTCCCGGCCCATCTCCCGAGACCCTTCCGCCCGAGACTGTGCCTCCCTCGCACCCCCCGCCTCCCCTGAGCCCCCGGAGACTGCATGCGAGCGTCTAGGTGCTGGACACAGCCAGGCGGCCCAGAATCCCCCTGAGTATAAGGCACTTTTCAAAGAAATCTTCTCCCACATCCAAAAGACAAAGTCGGAGGCAAAGTCCCCAAAAAAGACCAAGAGCAGCAAATGACATCACTCTTCCTGTTCCTGTTCATTCACAACTGGGCGCCCAGTAAAGCACTATTGTTCTCTATGTTTTCCTTTGTTCACTAAAGATAGTCTTGTTGGCTCTGTAATAAGAGTTGATGGTAGAAAACACTGCATTTTCTTCTCTAGTCTATTTTTGTCTTCCATACTTCCAAACTGAATTTAGGCTCTGACATAATGGAAAGCTACAAAGAAAATTAGATAAGCATGGCTAAATTTCCAGTATGCAAATCATAGTTACTGATATCCTGCTGAAGCACTGCAATGGCACTAGGTCCAATGGTTTTGCCTAATGGAGCTAATCAGTCAGGCTGTATTTTACCATATTTGGACATGATAGGAGTTTGCGCTGTTGTTTTATGTGTAACATTGACTTTGTGAGGTTATTCTGAAGAATTCTGATTTACTTACAATGTCCTAGTTTGGCTTAAAAAGTAAGAAGGATCATACTTCTCTTTCTGTGGAGAGGGTCTGTCTAAAATTATTTCGACTTAAAATAAAGAATCTAATGATGAAAATGTAATTGGGCTTTGTTTAGCATTTATTTTACATACATCAGAATTTATTTATCTATCTATCTATCTATCATCTATCTATCTATCTATCTATCTATCTATCTATCTATCTATCTATCTATCTATCTGTCATATAATGCAAAATGCACATTGGACCATAATCCCACTGGAGTAGAGGTCAATACGTTGGTGAATTCTGACGGACATTTCGACCAAAATTTGTTTGTTTGGTTCTTCATTTTTCTTTATATTTGTTTGTTTATAGCACGGACATGGTATTTAAAATCGTTTTCTCAGTTAAAACATCTTCCCTCGGATACAGGGCTGTAGTCTGGTTTTTGTGTTTGGATGTAAAATAAAACACTCAAAGTTGGTTGCCAACTCTCACGCAACTGGCGTGACACACGCTTTAAGACTCTCACGTAAGAATTCTTACGGCAAATCTATATTATTCCATTATAAACCTAAAATTAGCTACATCAAAATTGTTACGGTAGTTTGCAAACCTTGCAGACTATTTACAAGGTGATATAACTGTTAAATACGTGTGCAGTCTCGAATTGAAAATCTCAACGCCAGCCAGATGACCAAAGTTGGCAACCCTGCTCAAACAATTTTATGAATGACATGACTTGATACACAGGTTTATGTTGCTTTAAGTATAAGGCTACTGGTATTATATATTGACGAGGCACACCCCATGCTGTGGCTCAAAAACAACACTTCATTCTTACATATCTACATAACTACAGACACCTTTCAAGTACATAACAGCTGGTTTACCCAAGTTGTTGCCGAATAGCATGTCCATTTAGAGTAAAAAAAAATGTGAACCGATACCTTCCAACATATTTTTAACGTGTTTGCCTAACTTTAAAACAATTGTCGGTTGTATGACTTCGCAATCACGACCTAATCATAGATGAACCAGTTCTACACCTTTAACTACGACTCCACCCTTTTGATTCCACGTCTGTTGATTGCTTGTTTTGAATCTGGAAATGCAACCTTTCTCTTGTTCGGCATAGACTTTTTTCAACAACATAACCACTTTTCAGTATTTTATTTCTGACATACAGCGTTAAAGGAAATGGTTCACGAACGGACCGCGTGGCCTAATGGATAAGGCGTCTGACTTCGGATCAGAAGATTGAGGGTTCGAGTCCCTTCGTGGTCGTAAAATTTTCTCGCAGTTACGCGTAGCCCGATACACTTTCATGTCATTTCCGGAAAATTCTACGATTCAGGTATTACCAGCACCTTCACTAGTGGATTCTCTCTTGCTCGGGAAAAGTTATATAAATAAATGGTCGTGTATTTTTTATATTAGCGGTTAGACGACGGATGGATGATGGACGAAAAATTTCTCCATTCATCTATTCAAACTGAACAAATAATCTGAAAATATGTAAAATATTTTTGCTTGTATCCTTACGGTCTCTAAATTATAATTTAGACTTATCATTTAATTTATAATTCTCTCTCAGAAAAGAGTGTGTTTAAAGCACAGCTTTTGTGCCTAGCCCCAGTGGCCTAATGGATAAGGCACTGGCCTCCTAAGCCAGGGATTGTGGGTTCGAGTCCCATCTGGGGTGTCACTCTTTTTGTAGAATCCGATTTGAAATTAATGAATGTTTAATGCGAAAAGTAATCACAAAACCAGACTTCAGACAAAAATACAATTTAGATGAATTACAAACATTCATTATACCCATTTTTATAGTACTGAGTTACTAACACAATTCTGTGGAGCAGAGTGGCGCAGCGGAAGCGTGCTGGGCCCATAACCCAGAGGTCGATGGATCGAAACCATCCTCTGCTAACTTTTTTAAAGCATACAAATATTTTAGAAAATAAATCCATCCTGTATGAATCAGCTATGTCCAATAGCGCCCGTAAGTAGAGGATAGTTGCTTACTTTTCTGCAAATTTCGCCGAATTTGAGCACCAAGACGCTTCACCTTCCTCCACAGGCGGAAATGTCGTACAGGAACTTGGCGATTGGTGTCAAGGTTTCCGTCGCTCAAATGTACGAATCGTTTCTAGTACTGAATTATTAATTTTTCAAACGGACAAACAATGCCTCGCACAGCTATTGAAGCTCTTTCCTGATTGACAGGGTAAATAAAGGAGTTGAAGTATGGGAGTACAGCGACACCTAGCAGTCTGCAAAAATACTTCAGCCATGCACTCAAGGATTTATCATCAGTGTCAATCTGTTATTTGAATTAAAACCACATGATCAGCAGGTGAGTCAATTTATAAAATTCATATTACTCATTAAAATACTGTAATAGATGTGTATGTTTGACAGAATCAGAATTTCTTTTGTTGCAGGTGGTGCCATGATTATGTAGGGAGTGAAATTTAAGGTTAAAACGAATGTTCTATAACTTTAAATAAGACGTAGAGGTAATATCGCGAGAACAAAGATCCGCGATTAGGATCGCGAGAGAATAGGTAGTGGGGGCGGTTTGAGAGAGCCGAAGAGGGAGAGAGAGGATGCGCACTGTGTAATCGGATGTAGCTAATCTGCGATGTTCACCTCCTCATGTTGAATAAATCAAGTGTTATGACTTCCAGAGCTCCCTGTCGGTGCCCTCCTTGCAACAAAGCCTAGAACTCACGATCCAGCGCGCGGTAAGAACTGTGAAGTTCCTTACAGAAACAACGCGCGTTACAATACAAACAATTAAACTTGCAATTAACATAAAAGATACAAAAACAACAAAGGCTCTCTGCCTTGTTTCTGACCCTTTGTCAACAAAATAGAGGTCAAAGCCGAGGTATTGAGCATCCTATTTTTACCATTCAGCAAAGGGAACTGTTGGAGATTGCTTGCAGGGGACACCAAAATATGGGATATATGAATGAGTAACGTATCTTGATATATCTTTTACCTTAAAATTCTACATTGTAGCAGGTTAAATGAAGAATTAGACATGACCTATTTTCTGTGACTCAGTTTTATTGTCCTTTTATACTGGTATGTCATATCCCCAGTATAAAAGCTAACACCTATGTACACATATGTATGTATATCAATATATATATGATAATGTATTGGTGCTATGGAATTACATTATTCTAATGTGCTTGTACTGACTTGATCAGGTGGTAGTTAGCTTCAAGGCTGTCACCCAAGATCCTCAGCACACTGCATTATGGAGAGCACACTGACCAGCTGCATCACCGCGTGGTACAGCAGAGCTACAGCTATGGACTGTAAACGCCTGCAGAGAGTGGTGAAGACGGGAGAAGATCATCAGGACTCCGCTGCCCTCTTTGCAGAGCAGCTACCTACCGAGTCCAGAGGAGAGCTGCCTCCATCCTCAAAGACCCCACACACCCCCAACACGGACTGTTCACACTTCTGCCCTCAGGACGGAGGTACAGAAGTGTGAAATCTAGAGCCTCCCGACTTAACAACTCCTTCTCCCCCACTGCCATCAGACTCCTTTACAGCCGACAGGAGTATGAATAATGCACATCATCACCTACCTCATATTGTAATTTTTTGCACATTAAGCTCTTTTGCACATTACACTTTAAAGTATATATTTACTATTTTTTCTAATATATTGTACCTCAGCATTTTGTGTGGACAGCAAACAAGGAATTTCATTGCACAGAGAAATGCACTTTTCTACTGTACATATGACAATAAACGCTTTGAGTCTTGAATCTGAATCTCAAAGCTGTTCAGTTATGCCCAAGCTCACTGATTTGGTGCAGCATCCCATATATTAAGTGACCATCTTGAAATGCTCTTTTTGCACTGAGGAATGTCCAACCTGCGCTGAAACGTTTGCATTTTCTTAGTCTATGCACTTTTTTTTTTTTACACAGTTTTTCATTGACTATACTGCCCTGTGTCAAGACCCGTCTCTGTCTGGTTTGTTGTTTTCCTATTTGGCCAGCAGGTGTCACTGGCTATGCCACTCGTAGTGTTTGAATTCTAAGTGCTTGGTGGTGATGACCCTCACCTGTGTCTTGTTATTGTTATGATCTGCACCTGGTCCTCATGTAGCCCTTGTTTCAAGTGCTTGCCCTTGCCCTGTTCCTTTGTCTGTCACTGTATGCTTTTACTCCTTTTACTTTTTGTTCCTGCTGTGTTTCTCCTCTAGTCCTAGCCGTTGTTAACATTATTCATCTTGTTTTCCTCTTGTTTCCAGTTACTCATGTGGTTGAATAAAGCCCCTTTTGCTTCAACTAAACAGTACTTTTTTTACTCAGTTTGTTAATACTCCTACCAGGGGAGAAGCCCTTCTTGATCTTGTTTTTTGTAATAACCAGGATAGGATTGGAAAATTAGAGGTTTTAGACCCATTGTACGGTAGTGATCATAACATGGTTAAATTCGAGGTTAATTTTAGTGTCTAAAGAGCAAAGTCTAAATTAAAAGTATACAATGTTAGGAAGGCTAACTTTAATGGTATGAGACGGAAATTAGAAACTGTAAACTGGACAGAGTTAAATAGCAAAACAGTTGAAGAGGCATGGGAATTTTCATACCTGTTTCCAGCAAAACTAAATCTAGGAAACGACGACCAAGGTGGTTTACTAAGGAAATTAAGAATAAAGT